TCTCTGCTACCCAGTATGTAACAAACTAAAGAAGAAGACAAACCTTATTGACATTTGACGGCAGTTTGGCAGTGTAGAGTGTAAGCTATTGCCAGTTCAAAGTTACACATTATAGCAGTTTGATAGCAGTTGGTGATGTTTGGTTTTTGAGTAATTAAATGATGTTGATTGCTTTATAATACTGTTGTAACCTGCCATTATAGGGGTGTTTTGTTTTGTTATGTTCCAAGTAGAGTTTGTTAGAGTATGTTTTATTTAGGGATGAATGAGTAAAGAAGCACAAATTATGGATATTTTTGACACCTTTGTATGTATTGCAAATGTCCTCCACTGGTGAAAATACTAGTACTACTTGTGGGGTTAGGCTGGTTGGCAGTGGCACTAATATGTCAATCTCAGTGACAAAAGGTCAAAATCCTACTCCAACTCATGTGAGTTTTATGCCTCCATGAGCAACTACAGCTCCCAAACGAGTGAATTCTACTACTAGGAAGAATGCTTCAGAAATGTGGGACCATTTCACTAAAAACCCTTGTGAGAATAAGGATAATATGACAACTACAAGTAATTATTGTGGGTCTATTCTTACTTGTCCAACCAAAAGTAGTACTACGTACTTCTCTACGTAACCACTTAGTTAGGTGTAAAAAATACCCTTTCAATGTGGTGGACAAGAAACAAAGAACCTTAGTCTTTCAATAGCACTCAAGTGGTGTTGCAGCTACTTCTGCCTCCGCTTCACTTTTGGCTTGGAAATTTGATTAGGATTTGATTAGGGATGTTATAGCTAAAATGATAATTACTAATGAGTTGCCCTTTAGGATAATGGAGCGTGAGGGGTTTCATCGAATGATGAGTATTGCACAACCTAGGTTTCAAGTACCTAGTTGTACTACTCTGACTAGAGATTGTTTGAAAATTTATTATGATGAGAGACAAAAGTTGAAGAATTATTTTAGTAAATATTCTCATAGTGTTTGTCTCACTACTAACATGTGGACTTCTTGCCAAAACCTTAATTACATGTGTCTTACGGCTCACTTTATTGATGATAATTGGAAACTGAACAAAAGGATTTTAAACTTTTGTCCAATTACCAATCATAAAGGTTTAACTATTGGCAAGTCAATTGAGAAATGTTTGATTGATTAGGGTATTTCTAAGGTGTTCACCGTGACTGTTGGCAATATAAGTTCTAATGATGTTGGAATAACTTATCTTAAGCATCAGTTAGAACGTTGGAATGGAAGTGCCTTGAATGGTAACTTTCTTCACATGAGATGTTCTGCACATTTATTGAGTCTAATGTTAAAGAGGGGTTAAAAGAGCTGAATGACTCAATATTTAGAATTCGTTTTGCAGCGAGGTCTTCTCCAACAAGATTACAAAGGTTTAAGGAGTGTGTGGAGCAAGAAAAGTTGGAAACTAAAAGTCTTATAGTTCTTGATGTAGAAACAAGATGGAATCCCATTTATTTGACGTTGGAGGTGGCTTTAAAATTTCAGATAGCATTTGAGTTATTAGAAATCCAAGACCCTAAGTATAAAGATGAGCTTATTATCGAGGAAAGGTAAAGGGGATTGCCTACGTCTACTGATTGGGATTATGCTCAATACTTTTTGCCTTTTCTGAAAGTTTTTTATGATACAACTCTACGTGTGTCTGGCTCTCTTTATGTTACCTCTAATGGATACATAGAAGTGATATATGGCATTGGGTTGAAGATAAATACACAGCGTAATAGTAATGATCCTGGCTTACATTTAATGGCAGCTAAGATGAAGGCAAAACATGATAAATATTGGGCAAATGTTGATAATATCAACTTAATGATATTCATGCAGTGGTATTGGATCCTAGGCACAAGTTAGAATATGCATATTGTGCTATTGATAATGCGTATGATGTTGTTGATGTTGAGAGGCTGAAAAAAAAGTGAATGACACTTTGTTCTCTTTATTTGAGGAATACAATTTGCGTAAGGCTAGTCCTAGTGCGCAGTCAAGTGAGCAATCTCAAGTTGCAAGAGCGATTGATGTTACTGATGCAAATGTTGCTTCTAAAGTCTTTATGAAGGTTATATTTAATCAACAAAGGGCTGGACGACATGCTCTGGAGCCCAACTATGAGTTGGATAAATATTTACGGGAAAGCCTTGAAGATGAGAACAACCATAACTTTGATATCTTGAGTTGGTGGAAGATAAATTCAGCAAGATAATTCTTTGATAGCACGAGATGTTTGGCTATGCCTGTTTCTACTGTTGCATCCGACTCATCTTTTAGTACCGCGGGTCATGTATTACATCCATTTCGTAGCTCTCTTACTCCTAAGACAATGGAGTCTCTTATTTGTGCACAAGATTGGATTCGGGCTATACGTGCATCATTTCTCATTGAGGAAAGCTTGGAGGAATTATTGGAAATTGAGTCAAGTTAAACTTTTGCTTTAGTTTCAAATATTTAATATTTAGGGCACATGTGGATGGGGGTAATATTAGATAACTAGGGTAATATTTTTTAAATTGAGCAGATGACGATATTTCGTTGATTTGTAAAAAATTATTCCGAAATCTTTTATGACAAACAATGACATTTGGGGGGTAAGTTGCTGGGAATATTAATACCTTGGGAGGGGTTGTTATTAAAACTTACCCAAGGTAATCTAATTTTGTTTCCCATATTGCCCCTAAACAATTGAGTATTTGGTCCAAATTAGCCTTATATTTGTTAAGATTTGCAAAACACTCAATTCAGTTATGCAAACCCTTTTGTCCTCACTTTTTAAAATTTTTGAATGACATTGTCCTTGTTATTGTCATTATTTACATAAATGTCATTATTCCCAGAACTAGCCACCACCGCTAGCCATCATGGACCGCCACCAGAGGCTTCCAAAAGTCATCATAATGGCGTACGACCGACCGCATATGGTCGGCCATGCGCCGATGAGGCCTTTTTTTACCATGGATTTATCGGAAATGGCCAAACCTAGCCGTGAAATGGCCAGATCTGTGGTTATTTCACGGCCACATCTTTGGCCATGAAACGGCCATGGCCAGATCTATGGCACTACCGACATCACGACCAGATCTGTGGCACTATTGGTAGCCGCCAACAGTGGTGGCTGGCTTCCGATAGTGACTTGAGGTGGGTATGGGTGTTTTTGTTAAGTTTAAAATGTTTTTGCTTGCTAGAGTGTTTTTGCTAAATTTGAAAAGTTGGAGGTTAAAAAAATTATTCAAAAAATAATAATAAAAAATATTATATTAATATTTAAAAATGAGGGCAATTTAGTAATATATATAACATACTCACTCATTTGTCCTCCCAACCAAACATATTATTCACCAATTTATTCGAACTAACCAAACACATTTTCTCAACATTCCCAGTAATCTTTAAGGTGATTTTTTATTCCGTTAATATAAGATCCCCCTATAATAAAATATTATATGATCCAAACGCCCTCTTATTTATAACTTATATCTTACTTATTGACTCCCTTTTGTACCATTACTTATATTATGTTATTTCCCATCTTTACGTAGAATTTTCGTCTACGACATTGGAGAATACTCGTAGTCATGGTCATTTACATGATTGATGATTCAAACCATCTCTATGACATTTTGTATTGGTGCAGCCCTTGGAAGGTAGAATATGCAATCTCATTGCCTTTTTCCTTTTTCAAATGATGAATTAACCCTTTTACTTTAATTGAATTGCTTATATTGATGAGTAAAGTTTTTCGGGTTATGCTTATAATGATGAGTAAAGTGTGAATTGCAGGGTTGATTTTGATGGTAGTGATGCTGGTTTTTGGGTGGTAGTGATGCTGGAAGTTTGCTCTTTGTTGGTGTGATTCTGGGGCATTTTGCCATTTTTTACAAGTTTTTGTTGTTACAGTATTATGTTTGGTGGATTAAATGTAAAAGATATTCTTCATTTCTTATTTTCTATTCACTTTTTGGTGGAACAAGGGTAAAAAGACTTTAATTACTCATCATCATCTTCTTCTTCTTCTTCTTCTCCTTTTTTTTTTTTTTTTTTTTTTTTTTTTTTCAAATTTTGAATTTTATTTTTTTGCAAAACATTTGATGTTTGGTGTGTATTAAATCTTAAGTATTTTAAGGTATTAAATTAAAAGTTGATGTAATATATGGAGGGAATTGTATCTGCAAATTGCAATGTAAAAAATAAAAATTGAATGAAGGTTATGCAAATTCAGGTCATAACCTGGGTTACCAAAAACCGACCTGAATATTCGAGTACTCGGAAAACCAAGTACCTTAAAAAATAGTTTGGTTTTCGAGTACCTTTTTAGGGGTACCCGAATATTCGGGTACATGGTTTTTCAGGCAAAACTGGTTCGGGTACCCGGTTTTGCATAGCCTTAAATGTATTTGTGTCACGGTTATAAACAAAGGCAACTCATTACTCATCTCACTTATTTAATTATATCTTTGCTTTAAATTTTTATATGAGACAATTATTAACGGGTGATATGAAATGATTTTTATAATAATTTTAATAAACAAGTAAAAATCAATCTTTTATTTAACTAATTTACTTTGTTCAATTTGTTTATAACACTTTTATATAATTTTTACCAATTTAAAGGGATTATAATAATTATAGATTTTAATGCAAATAATAAATATTTGTTATACAAAGATAAGAGTTTTATATATGAGTAATGCTACAGTCACCGACGATAGTGCATCGAATGATATGACAAAATTCTGATCGTTAATTAATATTAAGTTAAAATTAATCAATGGTCAAGATTTTATCACGTCATTCGGTGCATTATCGTCGGTGGCTATATTATTTTCCTTTACGTATAGATTAAGAGATTTTAATTATTGATTTTTAAATTTTAAACTGGAATAAATGGGCTTTTAACTCTACACAAACACAACCCCTTTTTTAAGCGGGTTATACCCGGAGCAGACTCAGTAGTCAGTACTATTTGAAATAGTACATTAAAGCCAAACTCTTTGTTAATCGTTATTTCATTAAAACTGAAGCAGCTGCAGAAGCAGAGCTACAGTGTTGAAAGCACAAAACCAGAGAGATCAACATAATCACAAGCCTTTCTTTCAGTACCAAATGGAGGCAGACAGGTATAATTCATTATCATGCCTACTCATAATTATAATTTCTGACTGACTTTGTAGATTTTCACTGATTCACGGTTTATATACATTCATTGATTCACGGTTTATATACATTTATGCGCCATCGCTCAATTAATTGCTTTCTAATTTTGCTGCATCAGGTTGAATTCTCCTACCACATCTGAAGTTACCCTTGAAGTCTTGGGCCACCAACTTCACTTTTCTCAGGTAATTTTTTTTCCCTTAGTTCAACTTAAATTTTCTATATTAGTAGTTTGTAAATTTGTTTACTAGTATAAGTCAAAAGCTGTTTTCTCAATTAAAAGAGTTGTTTTATGTTTGGAATATTGGATGAGTTTTGAGACAATTTTGTAAATTTACCTGCTTTTCAGTTGCTTCCCAAGAATCAACTTCACAGTTTAGTTTATATTAATGTTTATGTATATCTATTAGTTACTTCTCTGACAGCGGCAATTTCTTTTTGTGAATGTGGGTAGAATCCGAATTCCAGGCATTTAGGAACTACAGTTTGGGATGCATCAGTGGTGTTTGCCAAATTTCTGGTAATTTTTCTTTTCTTTTGTATGATCATTTTACTTAATATTCACTGCGCACTTACTAAATTCTATGCAATTCTGGCTGTTGGGCTTTTTCAATTTAATTATATATGTAGGTGAATTTAGTCACATGAGATAAGGTAAGTTGTGGGTTTCTTAAACTTTGGTAAATGAGTGCAATGGCATGGTGAAAGTCACCCCAAGGATCCCAACTATGCTTAATAAGGTACTATTGATGTTGTCTTTTTCCTTAGTTTTAAATTTTTTTGTATGGGAAGCAGGAAGCATAATGACAAGGTGGTCGTAACATTAAATCTTTGGAATTTGTTCATCTATTAGATCCTGTATAATGATTTTAATGAATTAACTTGTTAAATATATAACTCATTTGTTACAAACCTCTCTGTGTTTCTTTGCAATTTTGCTGAGTTTGTAATTGTGAACCTTCTCTTATTTGGTCATGCAGGAAAAGAACTGCCGAAAGGGAAGGTTTTGCCCATCTAAACTTAAAGGAAAACGTGTCCTCGAACTTGGGGCAGGTTGTGGAGTTGCTGGATTTGGTGAGTTTCTATATTGCTGTATTTAGGCATTTCTTACTCAATATATATATGCTCTCTCTGCTTGAAATGGGCATAGTTAGCTCCATTAGGCAGGATGGTGTTTGTTTGACATGGATTTGGCTTTCCAGGGATGGCATTGTTAGGATGTGACGTTGTTGCAACAGACCAAATTGAGGTTTTGCCATTGCTAAAGAGAAACATCGAACGTAATACTTCAAGAATCAGCCAGATGAATCCTGGTTCAGGTGTGGATGAAATTTCACTTTTCTCATGTCACGTCTGTATTTTATTATGTTTTCGTCATCTTTTAAAAAATTCTGGGATGCTGCTGTACTTTGTTGAAAAAAAATGTTTGTTTCACTATAATTATATTAATGTTGAATTAAAATTTGCAGTGGGATTAGTAGCTATGATATAGTGAGTTATACTTGGAGCTACCAAATTATTTTTTACCTTGAATCTTACTTGGAAATTTTGTGCCCTGTAGATTCGTTTGGTTCAATCCAGGTTGCAGAATTGGATTGGGGAAACGACGATCATATAAGGGCTGTCACTCCACCTTTTGACTATATCATTGGCACTGATGTTGTAAGTTCTTTTGGATGTTTGCATTTTGTACAAACGTGTTTTTGTGCAGAGCAAAAGATAAATAAACAAATAAATATGATTTGATACTCTTTACTTATTACCATTTCAACCAAGCCAGTGATTTCAAACTTTCTTTTGTCTAAGGTTTATGCAGAGCATCTCTTGGAACCACTTTTACAGACAATATTCGCTTTATCAGGACCCAAAACCACAATTCTGGTATAATGTTTGAAGTAAATGTATTTTCTGCATTTTTTTTTTTTTTTTTGAAAGAATTATTGTCAATAAATTCATTCGATGCTATAATAATTTTATTTTTCTAGTTGGGGTACGAGATTCGCTCTACAAGTGTCCATGAGCAAATGCTTAACATGTGGAAAAGCAACTTTGATGTGAAAGTTGTTCCAAAGACCAAGGTCCTTTTCTTTTGTCCCCTTCAAACTCTCTTATTTTGGGTGTGTTTGGCTTTCAAATAACTGATTAGGGGAAAACAAGTGGGTATAATGGAAGATATCTAATAGAATTGAAAGATTGTTTGGTGGTTCAGTAAGAGCGTAGACAGCCATAATTGATCCTCCCTAACTTATAAATAGAAAATTTTCAACTTAGTGGTGTACCCTGCATTTTTGAAAACGAACCAGGTACCCAATTTTGATGTTCTGGAACAGCCCTTAGATCTGAGCTAAGACGAGATCATAAGAAATGAGAACTTAGCTGGTTGATCATATTTGTGTCCATTATTCTTTGGTTTTGGGCTAACTACTTCACACCGTGCAGATGCACAGTGAGTACCAGCATCCAAGTATTCAACTCTACATTATGGGAGTGAAGTCTGCAGGTGGGAACAGTGAAAGTGCAGCTCAGAAAATTAATCAGCAAATTGAAGTTGGGACAAAAGAAACAAAACACGAGGACATGATTGGTGAAAGTAGTAATGTGGTGGATAAGATGGTTAGTTTTGGTGGTGAAAACGAGAAAGATTCTGTTCTGGTAACAAAACTGCCAAATGGGAAGCTTAGTGATTGGGAAGTTAGAAGATACGGCTCAATGGCTGCTCGGCTCCTTCGAGATGTCAAGATAACTTGAAGTTTCTGGTTGGTAAGTTGAATATATTTCTATGGTATTATATGCGTTTCTCGTAGTGGGAATCTGGATGCATTACTTATTTTCATTGAAGAGTAGTATGGTCATCTCCCTTTTTCCCAAATAAACTGTGCTGCTGCTGCCTTTTTTCTGCAGGAATTCTACTTTCTGGTGCTGACTTGATAGGCAATGCATTATTTATTTCATAATGTCAATACATGACTGATATGAGAGACAAAAGCTGCCTTCTATCCATTGAACCGCAAAAAATGGTACATGAAGAGGTGGGTAAATGTGCTACATTAATAAAGTGATTGCCAAACCTCAATGCAGTGTGACCAGCAAGGTGATATCACAAAAAACCACCTGGTGAAAAAACCAAAAAAAAAAAAAAAAAAAAAATCAAAAATCAAAAGCTGCCTTTTCAATATGTTTGAGATTGATGGTAATATCTGAAGTACCTATTGTCACCACTTAATAGCTTATTGTAACTTGAATATCTATTGGCATCCCAGAATTTGACTTTATCTGTTTATCATGCTCAAATTTTATAAGGTGATAGATAGTTTTAGAAATGGTAGATTTTTATTATCTTGTATGTGTGAAGTAAACATTTTAAGCTGTTGATCCTGTGAATTATGTTTGGTCGGCTATCACACTAGAGAGATTTTGTTCCTATTTTGTACTTGGAGCTCTGGAGATGATTTTTCTGTCTAATCCATTCGATTGAAATATTTGTAAGAGTAATAAGATGTATCCAATTTTCAGATCCTAAATGATATGGTATTAATTGACTACTGTCACATAATAATGAAATAAAATAACAAACGATATGACAAATTAACTAGTATATACAAGTTATAATACCCACAACTTTTGGGATCTCACAGAAGGTAGCCATTTTATTTCGTAATCCACTGCATAATTATCTGCCCATACAATATGATCACTGTACTCAATCACATAACACAACCACGTTGGGCTTGAGCCATGTTTCAATCTGCCATAAACACAGTCCAGTAATGGAAACAAAATATTTCCACCCTTTCTGATTAAAAGAAGTTTAAAGTAAATGCCACAAATCCCCAAGAGATGACATACTCTTGATCACAACATTTGGGGAAATCAATTATAATTTATAAATTGTAATTTTTACACAGAGATCATGGAGAGTGAATTCCATGAAGAAGCTAAATATTGCCACATTGTGGCAACAGTTTGCCGAATAATGTGAGTATCATATGTTGGTGAGCTTGTATCAGACATGTTGCTCACAACACAGAATGGATCTATAAAAAGTCCCAAATAAGAAATGAGAGGATCAGCCCGAGACTTGTCAACTACAAGCCTCAACCGCTGAGTTTTAATGGTAGGAAATTGCAACAGTCTCTGATATCCAACTGTTGTGCCATTAATCAGCTTCTTCCATTTCCCTTTTTCATTCAAGATATCCAGATGAAACTCAATAACACGCTGTCCCATGTGAATCGGCTCTTGAATTTGTAAAACATTAAAAGATACCGGTTCCTGAAGGTCTAAGGACAACACCCATTTACATTTATTTTCTTCAGGAGCCCAGTAGGAGTAGATACCTTCTTTCAGGACATTGTGAGGGTTAAACCGAGATTGGTTACTTCCTCCTCTTGTACTGCTAGCACTAACAAGAGCATTCTCAGCAAGATTATGGGAAAATATGGATCTCTGAAGCTCACTGAACTCTTTAAGTATTTGTATATCTTCAGCTGAGATGAGGCCTGAAGAATTTGGAGGTACATTTAGCAATAACAGACAGTTTCTTCCGACTGATTTGTAGTATATGTCAAGAAGCTTCAGTGCTGACTTCGGAGCTTCTGATGCATGCCAAAACCAGCCAGGTCTGATGGAAACATCACACTCAGCAGGTACCCAGTCATGACCCTGTGGGTCTCCCCCCTGAGAGTATCTGTTAGTATGCCAAACAAAAAGAAAATGAACCTCTAATACTTTGTTCCATTCTTAAAAAGAAGGCAAGAAGAAAAAATTTCTGAAGGAACCTAACAATTCACAAAGTTTCTTCATTCAAAGACTGAATGTTCTACGACTAAGGAAAAGGCCTTATGGCAGTCTCAACTGATCTTTCAAAATTGATGATTATTTTAAGAAAATAACACCACCATTAAAAGCTGATCACTAAGATCAACCTTTCTTTTATTGCAGCATAGCGCCCCATATCATCTCTGTATGCTATAAGTTCTTAATCAGAATTAACATTGCTGAAACAATAAGCCTGCTTCATAGCATGGTGCAAGTGTCGATAAATGCTACATTATGGGAGTGAAGTCTGCAGGTGGGAACAGTGAAAGTGCAGCTCAGAAAATTAATCAGCAAATTGAAGTTGGGACAAAAGAAACAAAACACGAGGACATGATTGGTGAAAGTAGTAATGTGGTGGATAAGATGGTTAGTTTTGGTGGTGAAAACGAGAAAGATTCTGTTCTGGTAACAAAACTGCCAAATGGGAAGCTTAGTGATTGGGAAGTTAGAAGATACGGCTCAATGGCTGCTCGGCTCCTTCGAGATGTCAAGATAACTTGAAGTTTCTGGTTGGTAAGTTGAATATATTTCTATGGTATTATATGCGTTTCTCGTAGTGGGAATCTGGATGCATTACTTATTTTCATTGAAGAGTAGTATGGTCATCTCCCTTTTTCCCAAATAAACTGTGCTGCTGCTGCCTTTTTTCTGCAGGAATTCTACTTTCTGGTGCTGACTTGATAGGCAATGCATTATTTATTTCATAATGTCAATACATGACTGATATGAGAGACAAAAGCTGCCTTCTATCCATTGAACCGCAAAAAATGGTACATGAAGAGGTGGGTAAATGTGCTACATTAATAAAGTGATTGCCAAACCTCAATGCAGTGTGACCAGCAAGGTGATATCACAAAAAACCACCTGGTGAAAAAACCAAAAAAAAAAAAAAAAAAAAAATCAAAAATCAAAAGCTGCCTTTTCAATATGTTTGAGATTGATGGTAATATCTGAAGTACCTATTGTCACCACTTAATAGCTTATTGTAACTTGAATATCTATTGGCATCCCAGAATTTGACTTTATCTGTTTATCATGCTCAAATTTTATAAGGTGATAGATAGTTTTAGAAATGGTAGATTTTTATTATCTTGTATGTGTGAAGTAAACATTTTAAGCTGTTGATCCTGTGAATTATGTTTGGTCGGCTATCACACTAGAGAGATTTTGTTCCTATTTTGTACTTGGAGCTCTGGAGATGATTTTTCTGTCTAATCCATTCGATTGAAATATTTGTAAGAGTAATAAGATGTATCCAATTTTCAGATCCTAAATGATATGGTATTAATTGACTACTGTCACATAATAATGAAATAAAATAACAAACGATATGACAAATTAACTAGTATATACAAGTTATAATACCCACAACTTTTGGGATCTCACAGAAGGTAGCCATTTTATTTCGTAATCCACTGCATAATTATCTGCCCATACAATATGATCACTGTACTCAATCACATAACACAACCACGTTGGGCTTGAGCCATGTTTCAATCTGCCATAAACACAGTCCAGTAATGGAAACAAAATATTTCCACCCTTTCTGATTAAAAGAAGTTTAAAGTAAATGCCACAAATCCCCAAGAGATGACATACTCTTGATCACAACATTTGGGGAAATCAATTATAATTTATAAATTGTAATTTTTACACAGAGATCATGGAGAGTGAATTCCATGAAGAAGCTAAATATTGCCACATTGTGGCAACAGTTTGCCGAATAATGTGAGTATCATATGTTGGTGAGCTTGTATCAGACATGTTGCTCACAACACAGAATGGATCTATAAAAAGTCCCAAATAAGAAATGAGAGGATCAGCCCGAGACTTGTCAACTACAAGCCTCAACCGCTGAGTTTTAATGGTAGGAAATTGCAACAGTCTCTGATATCCAACTGTTGTGCCATTAATCAGCTTCTTCCATTTCCCTTTTTCATTCAAGATATCCAGATGAAACTCAATAACACGCTGTCCCATGTGAATCGGCTCTTGAATTTGTAAAACATTAAAAGATACCGGTTCCTGAAGGTCTAAGGACAACACCCATTTACATTTATTTTCTTCAGGAGCCCAGTAGGAGTAGATACCTTCTTTCAGGACATTGTGAGGGTTAAACCGAGATTGGTTACTTCCTCCTCTTGTACTGCTAGCACTAACAAGAGCATTCTCAGCAAGATTATGGGAAAATATGGATCTCTGAAGCTCACTGAACTCTTTAAGTATTTGTATATCTTCAGCTGAGATGAGGCCTGAAGAATTTGGAGGTACATTTAGCAATAACAGACAGTTTCTTCCGACTGATTTGTAGTATATGTCAAGAAGCTTCAGTGCTGACTTCGGAGCTTCTGATGCATGCCAAAACCAGCCAGGTCTGATGGAAACATCACACTCAGCAGGTACCCAGTCATGACCCTGTGGGTCTCCCCCCTGAGAGTATCTGTTAGTATGCCAAACAAAAAGAAAATGAACCTCTAATACTTTGTTCCATTCTTAAAAAGAAGGCAAGAAGAAAAAATTTCTGAAGGAACCTAACAATTCACAAAGTTTCTTCATTCAAAGACTGAATGTTCTACGACTAAGGAAAAGGCCTTATGGCAGTCTCAACTGATCTTTCAAAATTGATGATTATTTTAAGAAAATAACACCACCATTAAAAGCTGATCACTAAGATCAACCTTTCTTTTATTGCAGCATAGCGCCCCATATCATCTCTGTATGCTATAAGTTCTTAATCAGAATTAACATTGCTGAAACAATAAGCCTGCTTCATAGCATGGTGCAAGTGTCGATAAATTATAATCTCTGAAGTGCACAAGATGTTTACATGTAAAACTCTGGGTATCAGTATATCAAAGAAGTCATCAAACATAAGAACCAGGGGATTACATCCGAACCAGAAGCTCGGATGCAAGCAGAAGAATTTTCTACACAGAGTTAGAAAGCCTATAATGGTTGTCCCCAACATCCTCCCCACTCTCCTTCAGTCCTCCATGAGGTAGAATGGAGGCTATCTGACTTGTAGTTAGCATATCATGGATGGCAATCAGGTTTTAACCAAATAACGACTCTTGAACTAGATATTAGGATTGTTACCAAGATAGGAACTCTTAAGTGAGTTATGACTTGCATAAATGCCATCTATTTAAAAGCTAGAAATCCCAACTAATACTACTCTAAGGTTAGGAACAATGAAAATGAACTCACCCAGGATCAGTACCACCAATCGTAGCAGAACTCCGATTGAAAAGAGACCAGCAAGTGGAGCTAGCAACACCAGCCTCATCTCCAATCCACCTGGTATCAGGACCAGCATCAGAAAATATGACAGCCCCAGGCTGAAGTTGACGAATGAGACTAAACCAAGAATCAAAGAAATACTCCATGTCCTTCTCACCCTCACCTTTTGCACCATCCAACCATACCTCCCTGATCTCTCCATACCTGTTCCATGTCAAAAATAAATAAATAAATAAACCACTCTCCTCAACTCTGAATAATCTAATGAACTGCCAAGAGAATGAAGTCACCCAAAAGAAATCGCCTATTCTAAACTAACAAAATTAACAAATAACCATATCTTCTTAAGCAAAATTTGATCCAAATAACTTGTAAGAATCTGAAAATACAATCAACTGATACAAATGTCAACTCAACTGATGTGAAAAAACAAAACAAATTCACCTATCATTAAACCCTCCATCAATTTGATAAATTCTCGTTAATTAAACAAACCAATTGACAATACCATTCCTAGGAAATACAGTTAATGCAAATCTTCATAATGGAAGCAAAGCTTCAAAATGCTGAAAATCAAACAACCCAGTCGACCAAAATCCATTAAATTTACAGAATCACAATGCAGAACAAAAATTAACCAAAACGCGATCGATCTTAAGTAACTTGCAAACAGACATAAAAAAGATAAAATCAAATAAACCAGATAACAAGAAATTCAGTAGAAAACTCGATAATCCAGCCACAATCATTCCAAATTCAAATAAAACTCAGATAAGTTCACCTAGTCAACAACTCAGTCATCTGCCCCATATAGAACTCGTTATACTCCAAGGTCTTGCCATAACATGGTTCATGGCGATCCCACGGCGAAAGATACAGCCCAAGCGCAACACCAGCCTCTCTAGCAGCCATTGCCAGCTCAGCAACAACATCACCACTCCCATTTCTCCACTTACTAGACTTCGGACTGTACTCTGTGTATTCACTTGGCCACAAACAGAATCCATCATGGTGTTTCGCAGTAAGTATGACACGGTTAAACCCGGCCTCCTTGGCCACTTGGACCCACTGAGAAGCATTCAGTCCAACAGGGTTGAAGACACTCGGATCGGCGTGACCCGAACCCCACTCCGAGTCCGTAAAGGTGTTGGTTCCGAAGTGGAGGAAGAGTGCCATAGAAGAGAGCTGCCATTGGAGCTGGGACGATGAGGGAATGGGTAAAATGGGAAGAGGAGGTGGTATTTGGAGGGCAGAAGAGGAAATGGGAAAGAAATAGAGTGAGATTAGTAGTGTTAGGACAATAATGTTTTGTGAGATAGGTTTTGGGAATTTTGATGTTTGGATTGTAGTTTTGTTGATGTTGTTCTTCTTCTTCATTGAGGGAAGTTGAAATTTATGGGTTTGGTTCAGAGTCAGAACATAGGGGGGTTTGGTTTGTTTCAAGTGTTTTGAACAACCAAGCAGAGAAAGTGGTTATTATGTCACTCTCGTATTTGGATTGACTTAAAAGAAAGAATCAATAACAATATTAAGAGAAAATTTACAAGTAAAATTCATTGATTAAATTGAATACCAAGAAAACTACAAAATTTCTATATAAGTCATCAAAGCCGTTGTTTAAACGTGATCAAATAGATATCATTTACAAAATTGCATATAAATTTGTTCTTTCATTTTTAAATCTGAAAAAAAAAAAGAGATTATATCAAGAATTTCATGAAAATGTTCTTAATCATGAATGCTATAAAACGAGACACAGGTTCAGTTGTGGTTGTGTTTTGGGCTTTGAGAATTAGCATGAGATCCCGTTAATAAACTTTTTATTAAAGTCTATAATATCAAATTTGTCTCCATTTTAAATTATAAATATTAACTTTAATTTTTTTTATTCTTTACAAGTCTTTTACATTCCACTATTATCTCCCGAATTTTTTATTTGTTTTATGACAATGGGATTTGATATATGAGTTTGTTTATACTTTATAATCACGTATAAATTTATTGTTACGTTTTTCTTCAAAGTATTGATAGGGATCTTAATCTATATTTTTTATGTTGTTTGACTCCATTATTTTCTTAGGCTTATTTGTAAAGTTTTTTTTAGCTTCAATTTTTTCTGAACTTATAATTTAATTTTCTAAAATTTTGTTTTAGGAAGAATGATGGTGACGGGTATGTATCATAAGGGAAGAGAATGATATGTTAACTTTTTTTCTTAAAAAAATAAAATAAAATTGGAATGTTGGATATTTATTAAATGGGCAATATTACACTTACAACCCAATGTTACAAATTTTCTTTCACAGTTTCAACATGATAACTTGCAATTGTTTTTTGATGAATTTTCTTACCTGAGCATAAAGGTGGAAAAGTAACCCGCCCAGCCCGACCCACGGTGGGTTACTCATTTTGGCGGGTCGGTCCTAACTCGCCTGCCAACAAAGGCAGGCCGGGTTAGGCCCGTCAATTTTGGAGGATTGGTTGGCCCAACCCGGCCCGTCAACCCTAACCCGCCGGGTTAGGTTGTGGGTTGGGCCGGGTTAACCCCCTTTTTCTATTTTTGATTTTATTTTGTTTTGTTTAATTAACTTTTCAAATGAATAATTAACAATTTATAAATGAATAAATGTAATTGTTTTTAGTTAACTTCTTTTCAAATATCAATAATTCAATTAAATTATTATTTTTTTTTTTTTGTTAACATTTCAAATATTAATTCAATTTTAATACATTAAAATTGTAATATAAGAAAAAATAAATTTATTCATTTATCAAAAAATAAAATAAAAAATTACAATAATTATTGACTCGTTAAAAACCTCACCAAGAAAAACCCAATGGGACAAAAACTTGTTAAGGAAAAAAGAGTGCAATAATTGACAATTAATTTACAAAACAACTAATTTTGGGGTTGACTAGAACCTCCCTCATCCGTATCATCTATATTACAAAATTGAAATGATTCTATTAAAGTATCGTCGACAACCTCGTATTGCTCTTGATGGCGGGACCGTTCCTAATCTCGAAGACATGTGAGGACTTCAATCATTTTTTGTGAAAGTTTAGTCTTCCTTTCATTTAAAATTCTTCCCCTTGCATTAAATGTTTGTTCGGATGAGATGGTTGAGACAGGAACAACAAAAACATTCAAGGCAAGTCTTGATAATACCGAAAAAAAACATTTTCTGATTTTCCAATATTTCAAGACATCAAAGTTGGCTCTTTGTTGTGGATCTGTTGGTAACATTTCGGGAGTTCCCAAATATTGTTGAGGCTTGTTACTCTGTGACTACATGGCGGACAGTAGATTCGTTGTTGCTGTTGGTGCTTTTGAAGAGAAGGTTGCGCCTATGCTTCGGGTTCGGTTCCTCTTCGGCCTATTAAATGCACTCCAGGTGTAGAAGTCTTCATTTGTTTTTTTTTTTATGCAATTTTCCTATGTATTTCGTGTCTTTGCAAGTTCTCATACCTGTTTTCATATTGGAAATATACCTCTGCAAGATAATTTTTTACCTCTCTTATTTGATTGACAAATGCTAAGTATTGTAAATTTTCAGTTAAAGTCTCTAAACCATTTTCTAAACCTTCTTGTTTAATTCTATGATCAAATATGGCACCTAAACAATAAAGAAAAGGAATGGGTTTAAAATATTTTAAAAAAAAAAATTTCATTGCCTTTATTAGTTCTTTTAAAATTTCATTGTTTTTGTTGTTTGTAAATAACTTTGAAATTTTTATAATTGTATGTATTACCAATGAACTAGTAGAATAATACACACCAGAAAGTTGTAAAATGGATTGGTAAAAAATTTTAAGAAAATAATGAAATACTTTAGTTATTTGCCAATCATTTTCTACCAAATAATGAGGACCTCTATTATTTGCTACAAAATAACTAATTAAATTAGCATAAGGTAAACATGAATCAAACATTAAATAAGTATTATTCCATCTAACAGGCATATCTAATGCAAAAGTTCTAGGAGACATTTTTGATTTTATACAAACATCCTGAAATTCAGCATTTCTTTTATTACTACCAATAATCCAAGCTAAACAATCTCTAATTATATCAATATTTTCTTTAATTGTTTTCATATCACTTTTTACAGTTAAATTAATAATGTGACTTGCATAACGTTGGTGAAAAAACTTCAAATTGTTATAAAAATGATAATTACTTTGAAAAAAATCTATAGCAGTAGTATTAGCACTTGCATTATCTAAAGTTAAACTTATCACTTTAGTAACAATATCATAATCTTCTAAAACTTCAACAATTTTATTATAAATTTGTTGACCACTATGATCCACGTCCATTAATCTAAATCATAATAAAGATTTATTTAATTTACATTCGTTATCAAAATAATGACTAGCCACACAAATATAATCTTGTTTAGCTCTACCACTCCAAATATCGGCAGTTAGAGACACACTAACATGACAAATATGTATTTTATTTTTTAATTCTAATTTCATTTTCTTAAACAATTTTATTAAATCATTTATAGTTGCAGTTTTAGAATAACTTTTAAATCCTGGAAAAAATGATTTTTTAATAAATCTTTCAAAATATTTATCTTCAGTCATATTAATAGGTTGATCACTTGTAGCAATATATAAAGCTAATTGTTCCCTATATACATAAGAATTATAACGCCAAGTAGTACCCATATTAGTTATTTGAGTTTGATTGGTTTCTCTATTTCCATGTTGAGTAATATGTTTATTAGCATGCATTTTTAAAGTACTAGTACCATTACCTGAATCAGCTTTATAAACATTTCCACAATACTTGCATTTTGCTTTCTTCACTTGAACTATATTTTCTACCTCGTAAAACTTATCGAAATGCGTCAAAACGTCTGATGTGTGTCTGTCGTCGCTTTCGACAGCAGTTGATGAATCCGCTTCAGCTTGAGATGAAGTTGGATGAGGACGACTTCTAGAACCACCAGGAGCTGTAGGTGTGGCAGCATGGGGAGGAATCGAGGGCATATTTTGAGGTGTATCGGATTCTAAGACTAGGAAAGCGGGACTATTTGAATCTCCTCCTGCATTCATGTTAGTAAATTCAGCGGGACTAAGACTAGGACTAGGATAGTAGTTTCATTCCTCATTGAAATTGATAGAAGAGAAATATCTATCCATTGTAGTTGAAAAAAAAAAATTGATGTAGAAGAAATAAAAAATTAAAAAGGAGAATTGGAATATGGAAAATTGGAAATATGAATTGAAAATTGCAAAAACTAATAAAAATTAAAATAAGAGCAAATTGATAACAAAGAGATTAAGAGAATAATTGAGAGAGTTCAATAAAGATTAGAGATTAGAGAGAATGAGAGAATTTGAGTTGTGAGAAAATATGGTAGTTTAGGGCCAATTTATAGAAAAAATTGGGAAAATAAAATGACCAAAAAAACCCATCCAATTGCTATAAAACAGCTATATTTCAAGGGTAAAAGGAGAATTCAAAAAAACAAATAAATTTTAGTTTTTTATTTTTTATTTTTTTCGGCCAACTCGACAACAGCCAACCCGCCAGGTTGGAAATAGCCAACCTGGCGGGTTGGTGGTCCTTAGAAAGAACAAAATTGCAACCCGCGGGTCGCCAGGTTGGAAATAGCCAACCTGGCGGGTTGGCGGTCCTTAGAAAGAACAAAATTGCAACCCGCGGGTCGCCAGGTTGCCATATAGCAACCCGGCCCGCCTGGGGTTGCATGCGGGTCGGGTTCAACCCAGCCCGCCATTTTGGCGGTCCGGGTTGAACCCTCTTTAATGCGATTTGTTCCACCTGTAGAAATTGGTCATTTATGAGCTGTAACGTCGATGTTATGAACCAATTTTTATTGATATGTAATTTGTGGGGTGTTTTAAGAAAAAAAATTTAATTATAAAACTTTGAAATGGGGGCTTTTTTAATTAACAATGCTAGTCTTATAAAGAAGCCTACAAAGAAGGCATATAAAGGCAACATTCACCCTTCATCTTCATCTTTCTTTTTTTTCGTTTTTTCTTTATTTTTTTCTTCACTTTGTAAGCTTCTTTGTAAGGATAGACTTATTCTTTTTTAATCTACTTATGGGATGCCAATATGATACATACTGAGGTTGGCCTTTGTTTTGTTTGCTGGAACCTATGGTGTTAGAAGGAGTAGTTAAGGAACTAACAGACAGATTGAGGAGCCTGCGACCTCATAGTAAAACTCAGTTAATGGGCGAATAATTCCATATCTTTATTTCAACAAAACTTGGCTTAAATAGCCCACTTACAACATTCAAAAATAAGGAAATAGGAAATGAGTTACAACTACTCCCACTACTAAAGTAAAGGAAATATCCCACTAAACTATAACTTAATGACTAGAATATTATGTTGCTAACAAACTAATTATTTAATAAATAAATAACAAAATTAAAATAATTAGAACCACATACTGAGGGCCCGTGGGCCGTAACACAATAAG